TTGGGGCAGTCTGACGTGCTTCACTCCGTCTCTGCGCAGTCCTCTGCTGGCTTTCCTGGTCTTTGATGTCTGGGCTGATCGCTTGTTCCCGCAGCCGGACTTGGGCGCTCTCAGGAGTCCTTCTCTGTGTCGGCCCCAAAACCTCCAACCTGCTGCCGCTTGTAGGATCGTTGTTGAAAGAATTATTCGCCTTTTGTTGCTCTTGGAAATGCAATCAATACTCTGGTATCACAGCGCACGGCTCACAGGATTGCGCTGTCTCCTGTCACGGCCACTCCAGACCCGTCGCCATCTTGGTATCAAAATTTGATAAAATTTTGATCACTTTTTTCCCAGAGAAGTGATCCACATATATATTTCTGCAGCATTTCTACAGCTATGGCAGGGTGGAGAAGTAATAAATCAAAAGGTCCAGATTGATGTTTCTGTGCATTTAATTAGGTGCTTCTCCTGTTCACTTGTACCACCAATTCTGTATTTGTCCAAAAAACTGGTTCTTCAGTTAAATAAAAGATTTATTTAGCCTCAGTTATGTGTGATGTATTATGTCAGACCCAAGCTTCCCTAAACACCAGTCTCAGTGGAAGTAGCTGGCACATATGTTTGAAGAATATATACAGGTGCCTTTAGCTTATTCATATAAATCATAAGGTATTGTGACCTGAGAACTTCTTCACTTAATTATTATAGTTCCCTTGATTTATAATCAGAAATTCCAACTCAATAGCAAACCCTCCTTTCTTAACAGTGAGCTGAATAGATGGGCAAAAGACTAATGCATACATTAGAGGCAGGAAAAAAGGAATGTCATTTCCAGGAAACAGGATGTTTCTTGCAAATCACCTAATCATTCCTATGAGGAGATACTGGGGATCAGAAGTCCCATTAACCTTAGTACCAGGAGAGAAGTATAATGTGTTCCATTAGGTAGTGAACAGAAGAGAAGAGACCTGGGAAGAGAGAGGTGGGGCCAACTGAGGAAGAAAAAAAAGTATCACAGTAGGGGGTAAGGAAAGAGGATTGTGTAGAAACCGGGATGGACAGAGAGCAGCGGCTGCTGCCACCCGTGTAATGTTCCACTCTGGGAGACTATAACCTAGATCATGTACTTTTAGGTAATGTTCTTCTTTTAATAAAAAACAGAAACAGTTCATTTTAAAAAGCTAATAACAATGTAAGGGAGATCAATAATTTTGTAATTATTTTAAAACAATTGTATTGTTTAGCCATTCAAAGAAATGTTAATGGAGTCAGGTTTGAAAAAGTCAGGGACACTATATTTTGCTGTACAAGTTTGTGGCTTTTTAAAGAAAGTTTGTTAAAGTAAGTCCTCAAGGTTTGGAGGCAGACCCCCAAAGCATCTAAACTGTGGACATTTCACACCAAATTAAGGTTCAGGAGATAAGTAAAACCAGGAGACAGTGCCACCCTCCCAAGGAAATAGGGCAAAGACCATGTGCTTTCAAGACTCTTGGAGACCTTCCAATTACACTTCGCTAAAGAAATATTGCTCTGATAAAGGTGAATTGTCACCCAAAATAGGTAAAAACAAAGAAATTCTAAAGAGACGTTTCGTTTTCTCATAAAAATCTTTTATTGGCACACCAGAAATAACATTTTCCTAGTACAGTAGCTGTATGCATCTATAATTGCAATTCAATGTAAACTACGTGTTACAAGTCACTAGAAATCTAATTAGCAGGATGAATTTAATAAAGAACAAGAGTAACTATGAGTTTACAGCGGCCCAGCCATCGAGTCTCATTGGAAAGTAAATCAAATATCAAACTAGTGTTGCCCTGCAACAGAGTTTTTCTGTAGCCAAGGAAAACTAAGAAGGACAAAACAGAATAGCACCCATTCAATAAATTAGATACACTTAACTAGAAAAACATTGCAACTGATAGAAGTAGCCTAAATAAAGTAAGCACAAAAGTAAATAATTAGCTATTTATATATATTACTTTTTGTCAAACTTTAATTTTTTAGGTTTCCCATCCTATCTCTTCTATTTGTTATTCTGTTTTTTTATGGTGAATTTCTTGGCTCACTGGAAAATATTTAGACAACTAATCAGAACTTCTTTCTGGGTCTTACATTTTCTAAAATTTCATATCAAACTAAAGAATCTAAAGGGTTAACATCTGTATAAGCCTATCTCTATATGGAAGTATTAAGTGTTGTTATTCTGCTGTCGGTCATAGTAATGACATACAATTTCATGTTTTCCAAACATAATTTCAACTACTCCAGGAAGTTAGATCGTGAATGGCAGCAGAGTGGATGAGTTTTCACTTGCAGCAGGCACAGATAGTATACATGGAGACAAGTGAGTTTATCCTGAGAATGTGAATGCTGTGGACTGCGACTTAAGATCGCCCATTACTGAGAACGGGTCCTCTGCCTCTGGTCACTATTGTTTTTTTTAACATCCATTTTTAAGGCTTAGTATCATTGCAGCATTAAAAAAATAAGAATGCTGACATAATTTTTACCAAATAAGGGCTGTGATGAATGGCAGCAGATATTATAATTAAAATAGCACAGTTGAAAAGGCATTAAGTTGGCACATTTCTGATGTTATGGCCAGAATGTGCAGATTTTTAGCATCATTCTAAAGAACCTGAAAGATCTTGCCAGTGAGCCTCTTTGACCCTTGTCTATTTTTTTTCTAGTACAGGTGGTCCCTGACTTACGATTTTTCAACTTTATGATGGGTTTACCAGGGTATCAAATGCATTTTTGACTTAATATTTTTGACTTACCCTAGATTTATCAGTACATAACCCCATCGTAAATTGAAGAGCATGTGTATGTATAACAATTTGTAATGATCTTATTTTTGCTTTGATTTCCTACTATTCAGTATGTCACCAATAATATCATCAGAAAAGAAATGAAATATAGCTCACCTACATACAAAATTAAGTTAAATAAAAGCAAAATCTGGGAATGGAAACAAAGTGACATGGTGGGCTGTGCTCTGTTGGTTAAAAATGCTGGGCACAGAAGCAAACGCGGGCATGACGGCAGTGGAGAGGTTGGGAGGGAAGGCTGGGAGGGAAGGGGCAGATCTGTGGAGTGAAGACCCGAGGGGCAGCTCTTCTCTCTCCTTCTCATCTCCCTCTGGCTCTCTGCATCCCACTGCTCCTCGCTGGCTCTTTCAGGCGAGGGAAGAACAGGCAGAGGGCACCCCCACGGCACATCCTCAGGCTATTGATGCTCTGCTGGAGTAGAAGTCAGGGACTGGGAGCCCGGTGTGAAGCGTGACCTGGGGAACGAGACTGTGAGTTCTGCAAGCACCGCGGGTGCCCCAACCCCAACACAGTGCACAGTGGGTGTGATCCCAACTCAAAAAGGGATCTGTTCACTCCTCTTTAACGTCTATTCTAGTAGACATTAAAGGGAATTTGTGCAGAATTCTGCCTGTGATAAGAGCCTGTCCACTGTGGTGAGCTCCCTAATCCTTGCAACACTTGGTAATATGGTTCTCAGCCACCTGCCTCTTTTAAAGGATTCTGGAGAGATGGTGCTCCTTATGACTGGAGATACACGCTTGGTCTCCTTAACTTACCCTTGGTCTTTTCTCTGTTGCACTTACTACTTTCTAACACATATAATTACCACTGTAGTTGTAATTATTATTTATTACTTGTCTCCTATAACTAGAATGCAAGCTCTATGAGGGCAAGATTTCTATTTGTTTTTCCACTGATGTATCCCGAATACTTATTGTAGTGGATTGAATTATGTGCCCCCAAAACTCACTGAGGCTTGAATTGTGTCCCTCAAATTTTATGTTTTAGAAACTTGGCCCACACTGTGACTGTTAAGGGGGTGGGAAATCCTATTATAGTAATTGAAAAGTGGAGCCTTGAAGAGGTGATTGGATTGTAGGACCATGCCATAGTGAATGGATTAAAAATGGTGGCCATGGGCATGATTCTGAGGGCTTTAAAAGGAGAGAGAATGAGGAACCGTCTCTCTCTGCTCTCTCTGCTTCCACCATCTTGCAATGTGAGACCCCTGGGTCACTGTCACCACCACCAGATGGACTTTGGACTTCCCAGCCTCAGAAACTGTGAGCAATATATTTCATTTTTGTTTATAAATCACCCAGTTTTAGGTATTTTGTTATAAGCAACAGAAATGGACTAATACACTTATAATAGTGCCTGGAGTGTTAAAGGCATTCTATAGATATTTGTGGAATAAATGGGAAAAGCCTGTTATTTTATATCTATAATAAATCACAAGTAACTAACTTGTCGGTAGGGACTATGTTTTTTAGTCCCTTCATACCTAACAGAGCTGAGCAAGAGTGCAAAGAAGATGCTTGAATTTTTTGCTAACGATACTAGTACTTCAATCTTACATCTGCACTTCTTCTCAGGCTCTCATGGAGCTTTGCATAAGTTATTTCATTTGTTTTCATGTCAGTTGGTTAAAGGCTTTCATTTCTACTTAGAGATGAAACTAGAACTCAGAGGGATGATCATTCGCAAACCATCAATAGAATTCCAGTTTCCCACTTGCTGTTAACTAGATGTGTAAAGAAGGGCTGGGGTGGAATACTGTCACTTGTCACGTTGATGCCTTTCTCTTCTCCCTTCCTTCATGTCTTGGTCTGGGCCTTACACTGTCAGCTTCCCTTTCTCAGGCTGGATTCAGCTGCCCCTGGCCTGGCGGAAGCTGTTTTCTGTCCAGGGGCCCGGTACTTACCTGCACATTCCTGTTCAGGCTGACCGCAGGGAAGAACAGGCCCTCCACGTTCTCAAACGCTATGGGACCTTGCTGTTCATCATTGATGAAAAACGTCAAGGTTTTTCTATTTAAGTCAAGGAGGACCCCGATTGTGGCCCCTTTTGCGATCCCTCCCTCAGTTCTGTGGGAAAAAAAAAAATTGGGTCTCACTTGCTTGTTGTTATTCTAGAAGCTTCCCTTTTTGTATGGTTAAACCTGTGTTTTGCAGCTTGTTTAAAATTATTCCCCACCCCCAGCTTTTTTAAACATTTTTCCCTCTTCATATAAAATTTAATACCACGGATATACTGTATACCTGTTTATATACTGTATGTATATCTGTGCTTTATATATAAAAAGAGTAAGTTTTTTTGTCTCCCCCTGCCCGCAATTTTCACTCCCTTGGGGGAGATTTCTGCTTCTGGTGAGAATGCATGGGTTGCTCTGCCGTTGCTGAGAATGAACACACAGTATTTGTACCATTGAGCCACAGCAGTAGGAAACAAAACACTAACGACTAGAAAAAAAATAGTCTTTGGGCTGTCAGCTCTGACTTTACCTGTGTTGCACTTTGCACAAATGATGTGAATTAAACATCATTAAATACAAAATGATTTAATTTGAATGTCAAAATAAGGAAGCACTTAGGTTGAACCTAAAATATATGCATAAGAAATTGGATCTGGGACCTTATGCTACGTATTAAATAGAAAAACTCATTCCAGAAAGACAGTAATTTTTTTGGCATGCTGAACTTGAATTAAGATGTTAAAGGCTCTCTGTAAAATGACAACATCAAAGAAGAGGATTCTTCCCTGTAAAGTGAAATAATTATACTACAGGAAATGTAGTGATTTTAAGGAAGCTGCATAAAAATGTCATTTTACAAAGAATTATGTCTTATGCATTGACGGTTTCACAAAATGCCACTAAACATGGATGATCAGATTTGTCTTTCCTCTTTTTGAGATCTAGCAATATTGAACTTCATCCTCATCTCAGCAGAGCATAGAAATATAAAAGTGTTACTTGTTTCCTTTTGCATGCAGAATACAGACTGCACCTACTCATGAAAAGAAAGGTTTACAAATTGCATCTTGTTAATTCACAGGTTTAACAAGTGACGTGCAGCACAAGTGACATGCAGCTTGCAGGCAAGCAGATGTGTTCAACTTTAAGAATGTGTTTCTCTACATGGTGTGTGATGGTTGTGTTATTATTCACTCCTTTGCTCCAAAATAAAGCTGCTAAAAGGGAAAAAGTAAGCATAGTGCATGGGTGATGGTTATCAGGAATCTAGTGACAGAGAGTTCCCTCAAATGTAAATCACTGAAGATAACCGCTTATCTACATCCAGTAGGATTTGATATCAAGTTGAAACAGTGTGTGTGATCACTTCACATGATAGTGAAAAATACACACCTAAATGGAGATGTATAGAAACTATCCAAGGGAACAGGAGGCCCTAGGAGTTTACTGGCTAGAGGGGGATCAGTGGTGAGACAGTGGAGTCCGGTCATCCCACCACTGCCTGACTTGCTTTCCCTCTGATCTGAATGAACACAACTGTATTTTTTTTTTTCAGAGACACCAATGAGAATGTATCCTGGGAAAATCTTTGAGAATAAGGTGGACCAAGGTCCATGGTAGACACTCCTCTGTCAAGGAAATGTGTGAAAAATACATTTGAAGAGAACACACCAAAGGAAAAAGGGAAGACAGGGAAAAACTATAGTATGTGTTCAATTATAATTGTTTATATTTTAGTGGTAGAGGAAACCCTGAAAGGGTTTACTATATTCTCTTTCTGTAGCAAACTGGGTACTCTGAATTCATGCAGTAAGAGAGTGTTGCAAGTATAAAACTATCCAAGTAGGCATCCATAACATTTAATTTTGGCTTCTATTTCAAACAGGAATATTGATAATTATAAAAAGGACAATGGCTTCTATTTTCAGGTGCCTCTGGTGTGAGGCATTTTTCCTCATCCAATTTAACCTTCAGAATGCCCCTGCATGGAAAAATATTATTATCCTAATTTGGTGGATTTGGAAACTGAGGTTCGGAAAAACGAAGTAACTTGTCCAGCAGCCCTTTTCTGGTAAGTTGTAGGTCTGGGTTTTAGAATCCTGGATTGTTTTCCTGTACAATGGATATGCATGGGGATTCTAGTTTCCAGCTATGGGTGGACTATAGCAATGAAGGGTCTAGGAAAGTGCCATACCTCTTTCATTATGCAAAAAATAAACAGGATGGACTCAGCTCAGAGTAATAGACCTCCTGTGCTGCTTAATGAAGACCACCTGCCTGACTTCCTTACTGTTATCTATGTAACAGGTCTTTGAGCTAGGGCTCTCATTCCTGAGCAGAAGCCAACGTGAAGAAGGCTTGGTTTGGGGGCTGCAGGGTTGTGCTGCTTAATGAAGACCACCTGCCTGACTTCCTTACTGTTATCTATGTAACAGGTCTTTGAACTAGGGCTCTCATTCCTGAGCAGAAGCCAACGTGAAGAAGGCTTGGTTTGGGGGCTGCAGGGTACCTGTTGGTGTGCGAGTTGTTGTGCATGAACCAGCTCCGGTTATTGTCCACATACATTGCCCAAGCTTTGTCGTCCTTTCCTAACATCACATCCTTCATCACGTCCATGCGGGCCACACCAAAGGCAGGATCAGGGTGGTTGTCGTAGCGATCTATCGTTAGCTCCCAGTAGTGGACGCCCTTGGAGAAGCCAGTCTTCCCCAGCACCACCCGGTCATCGTAGCTACTGCAGGTCACTGTCAGGTTGTCATTGGAGAAGATGATGTCTGAGTGCGCTGAGCCAGGGTCAAAAGCAAACCAGGCCACTGGGAACGACAGAAGAGAATAGGGTTAATAAGACGGACCCAACAAGCTAAGCATCAGAACATACTCCTGGACAGGTGAGGAGCGTTGTGTTGTGTTTTCATGCTGCCATGCAGGAAGGAGGTGTCCAGGGCCAGAGGGGCTGTAAGTGAGCAGAGAGGGACATGTCCTGGGAGTTGGTACTCTCTGCACCAGAAGCAGATGGAGGACGGATGACCGATTCAGCAGGGGTTACCTGGCTCAGACTGCACTCCCAACCAGGTGATCCGGGAGTGAAGTGGCATCAGTTTTGGAAGGTGCAAGTCCCTTCACCTGGTGACTGCCAGAACAGTGCACCAGAGACATAAAGGGAGAGGGGATGCGCTAAGATGCCTGTGTAACCCCTGAGGCAGGGAGGCTAGAATCTAGAGTCCTAGATGAAGGAGGGATAAAACACAGGGAGTGAAATTAGGAAATATCCCTTTGGTAGAAGTGCTAAAGTATAATCATTTTGGAAAGTTCCTTGGCTCTAGTGAAAGCTCACAAGCTGTGAAGCTATAAGCAACATAATCTAATTTTCATGAGTGATTGTGATTTGAATGTAGGACAGGTTGCTTCCTTCATAACTTAAAAATACAGTTTTGTGTATTACTCCTAACACTAAATGGGTAAGCTGTTTTGCTGGAGCAGTAGGTACAGTCATGCACTGCTTAGTGATGTTTCAATCAACAGCAGACTGCATACATGACAGTGGCCACGCTATATAGCCTAGGTGTGTAGTAGGCTATACCACCTAGGGTTGTGTAAGGACACTCTATGATATTTGCACAGTGATGAAATTGCCTAAGGATGCGTTTCTCAGAACATATTCCTGTCGTTAAGCACACATGACTTTATTATGGACACTAAGTACACACTGTTATGCCCTGAGTTCTAAATGCTGCCTACAAATAACACACTCTGAAGAAATGTAATTGCTGATTTATTGAACCTGTGAGCTACCTCACATGCACTTTGGTTTTTGCTATTTGTGAGAGAATAAGGTTATTCCATACCTGCCAACAGCTTTTTAATGTCAACTGTTGTCATTCCAAGTGAAAGGCATGGGGGAGAGAAATAGGAAGCAAAATTGGCATTGATAAGAAAACATGTCTCTTTTGATAGACTAGTACCAAAAAAGGGTTCAATTGCAAATGCTACATACACTACAGCAGTTGGTATGACTTGTACCTTTACCTAATTTAGGGCTCATAAAGAGTGTTTTGCACTGAAGTATAAGAAAACTGGGGGAAAATGTAAGCTTTTAGGTATAATATTAAAAAACGGAGGCATCTTTTCCACTTTTTCTACGAATTTGAAAAACTGTTATAATGGGGTTAAAAGACAATTAGACATTTTATTGACATAAACTAAGCTGCTGCCATTTATTTGGTGAAAGAAATTGACCATACCAATCACATAAGTAAAAGATAACAATTACAGTAGGTATACTTGCCTAATTGAGAGTAAGGTGCAGATTGTGTCTCAAAATTGCATCCTATAAAGAGATACTACACATCAAAGCTATGAAACAAGAACCAGGTTGATAAAAATTATTTGTACACACTTAAAAAGCACCATCTGAATATAGTCACCAGAGGCCTGATTCATAAAAAAACAAAGCCCTGTTTATGTTAGTTTACTTGGCTAAAAATTAGGCTATACCATCTAGGGTATACCATCTAGGTTTGGGTAAGTACACTGTGATGTTTGCACAATGACAAAATCACCTAATGATGCATTTCTCAGAACGTATCCCTGTTGTTAAGCACGTTGGGTAAAAATTGCTTCTCTGCTCTTTCAAAGAGAAAAGTGCATCTTTTTACCATTTAATAAATCCTCCTCCAATTGATTCTAAACTCTGCAGCTTAAATTTTCATCATCTTCCAAGTTCAATCTTCCCCCCTAACGTTTCCATATTAAGATGGCTGACTGTTTTAAAAACGAGAAAATTTACCCAATTGAAATGGAGAAAACACTGTACCTTGATAAAACTCTGCTGTGTTGCTCTTCTACAAATTTCTAACTCTGGTTATGCCGAAAGGTCTTTGTTGTGACTTGGCCCAAGTTAAATGATACATATGTAGCTAAATGTGTGATGTAATCCATATGTTAATAAATACATCTGATAATTATTAATAGTGACTTGAATTGAATGTAGTAAAAACAAAAATTACTCATCTCCTTCTTAGGTTATTTTACCCCATCAATCCTTCTCATCTGAGGGAGTGGAGGAGCTGGTGGTAGTGGGAGTGGTCTCAGGTATATTGTGGAACTTTTTCAACCATCTTCTTTCCCTAAGATTTGGACACCGCTACCCCATGAGAAGCTGCCCTAGGGTGGAGGAAGGCCATCTACTCTTAAAACATTCAAAGGTGAGTGACCTACAGTCTTTAGTGGTGTCAGGGACTGATCTGGAAAATGTAGTTTTTTCGATTTAGTAAGGCCCCTATATGCTAATTTCTAAAACAACTGAAGGATAATCTGCTGATGAAATAATTTTATAAGAATTTAAAAAGCAACTGACTATAAAAGAGGACCAATGACTGAGTTAAAAATAAAATCTAAAGATTATGACCTTACTTTTAATTAATTACTTAATTAACTTAATTACTTTTAGTTAATTTTACTGTGGTATGAATTCACATACAAAAATTTTCTCCCAACTCCTGGCTGACTTTATTTTTATGTTTGATTTCTATTGATTGTCACTTCAATTACTATTCACAGGTTAGAACATAGTGAGTATGAAACACTCAGTTTTAAAACTGAATCTCATATCCGGCTTTAGAAATACATTTGTAGAATCTGAATAGGGCTTTTAAAATTTTTAAATGAATCATGCCTTGTGCAAGTCTTTTTTAAACAAGTATTATGCAATCTTTTTTCACTACTTTAAACACACCATCACACATTTAAGATTTAACAATACAACTAGAACAATTCTGTTAAATATACCCATCAAATATCCCAAAACCCATATTTCATTTTATTCTTCAGACAATAAACATTACAAAGACTATAACAATATTTCAATACATTAGACACAAGTGAAAGGAGTTCCATAACAAAGCATGTTGGAAAGGCAGTAGTGCACAGAAAAACAAGAAGAAACGTAAAAGCACAAAGAAAAATGTCATTTTAAAGAGAGCTTGAAGTCCCTGCATCCTTTTTGCACTGTCATGCTGTGGCCTTCTTCATTCCAGGATGTGGGATGAGCAAAAAGAATAAAATAAAAAACAAAAGTAACTTCTGGAAGTGTGAAATGTGCATCGTGTGTATCCATGATTACAATATAGTCCTGAAGAGATCAAATAAGTTGGAATCGTAGATATTTTAAGATTCTATTTGCTAGGCAGGGTTCACTGCAAAGTAGCGCAAGTCTAGCTTCCCTTAAATCAGCTGCAAGCCCTGTCACAACTGGTTTGGCTATGGGAAACTTCAGGGAGGCCAGACTTTTTGATTACTTGTATCCTTGAGCATTAGGCATTAGGAGTTATGGGTTTCTAATTCAGCTAGTAGTGGTCCCTCCCCTTTGCTAGGAAAACAATCAGCCATGAGCCCGACTCTCCTACCAGTGAGCACAGGCTTTTGCAGAAAATGCTTTCACTTTCTGCTGTCTGGTTTGCCTTCTTTGTAGGATGCATTCTGCTATTGACATGTTTTTGCTTTTATTTTGTCAATAAAGATCTCTTGAGTCTATGTTTAATCAGACCACTCTAGGCTGGATGCACTGATCCAGTCTCCCAGGCACAGCTGGTTTCCTGGATACAGAAGGGTTGCAAATCTCCAGATTACTGCCACAGCCTGCACTTAGCCAGCGCCCGTGCCGTGCTATGCCACTGCATGTGATGACAGCGTGGGTTATCCATGGTGGTACCAGCTTGTGCAAAAAGAACAACTTCACTCATCACTTTCCAATGCCATTATACATCGACCACAGCTCCATGGTTGGTCTTACACCACACAAACAAGAACGCCACAAAGTGCCATCATCCAAATGCTCCTCATACTGGAAGCAGGCCATGGACACAGAGACTAGCTCCTCCCCCTCACCAAGCACACGAACGGCAAGAACAAAACAAGTATTTCAGAGATGCCTTCATGGCACAGAGATGCAGAGGAAAGTCTGACAAGCTCAGCTCACCCGGTGCATTGAGTGACTGTAAAGAGGAATGCAAGCTCAGCTGATGGGGTGAGGATCGGAAATCAAAGTAGGATCTCCCGGGGAAGCTGGGTTGTAGATTAAGGGTGGAGGAGAAAGGACTCATTCTACGGAGCGGCAATCTTTCCGAAGGCACTGGAAAAGGGAGGGTCTGTTCTTCTGAATCTGTGTCTAAATGTAAGATCAACGCAAACTAGAGATCAGAAATCTGATACTTGCCTGTGCACGGTTCCCCAAGACCTGCCTTACCAATGCATTCATACAAAACCTCATGTGGTCCTGCAGGGTGCCACAGGCAGGCATTTACAAAACCAATATGCCTGGGGGCTGGGAGGGTCAGGACCCAAGACCAGAGGACACCTCCAACATCACAGGCAATTGTTTTCATTTCCTTCCAATTTTTAGTGGTAGAGAAAGTATTTTGGAAGGTTTCCTTTTAACTAAATCAAATATTTTTAGAGTTGAATTTGGAGGTTAATTTTACTCATTGATGATCAAGAGGATCATTCTCTTTGGCTACCATGGAAATTACTCTGTATTCAACAATGGCCTCTTAAAAGGTTTTATTTAGGAGATGATGAGTTTTGCAAACTTCGTGTTCCATATTTTCCCCTTTCCCTCCTAATATATATTTTTTTCATATCTTGATGGATGAGATGATTTTCTGTACTAGCACATTAAAGACTTGATCTTTGAATAGGAGAGTAAATGTGGGGTGGCCTAACAAAGACAGGGCTGGACAAGTAAACAGGGAAGGAGCCTTACCTGAATTTGAACTACGGTCAGGTTCTAGGGATGCCACTTGATCATCTCTGGTTCTCTAATAATAAACAGACTGTGGGCAGTGGTGAGGTACACTGGGGGCAAAGTGTCTTTGTTTCTTTTCAGACAGATCTGGCATGAAGATCATTATTCTATCAGAGTAAGGACTTATTAATTACTTGATCTAGTTTTAGAAGGACTTGTTAGTTTCTCTAAATTACAAAAATCACTCCTTTCTTTTGTCAAACAATAGCTGGTTCTATGCAGTGGTTTGGTCTAGCCAGAGATGGATCTTTCATCAATTGGAGGCTTCTTTTTTTTTCCTTTTTGTCTTTTTTCGTGACTGGCAACGGATCGCAACCCTCAGTGTCGCGCA